TATATTTAAAAAAGATTGCAATCATAGGGTACTTACAGATGTAATCCAATGCATTCTAATTAGAACCTACAAAAGCAGACTTGATGAATCTTAATTAATCAAGTCTGCTAAAGCTTTCAAATTAGAATGCTTCAGCACGCCTCAGCATCATGTGTATTAAGTGTCCTGTGTTTGAAAATAGCCATGGGGGCATTTTAACTAAAGCTCATTCAATGAATTTTAGTTAAAGTCTCCCCATTGCCATTTTGAAATGTGGAACACTTTATACATGTGACAGTGAAGTATTTTAATTAGTGTGGTTCTCTGGGAAGTGCTCTAATTAAAACATTCTCTCCCCACACCCAAGCATGTCTATAAGCATCCATAATGTTTTGTCTTGGGTTATGCAGAAAAACAAGACTGGGAAGTAGCTTACATTTTCACAGCTTTATTACCTTAACCCATCTTGGAAAGTATCCATAAAGAACTCATTCAGTGCAAGTCATCCTTCTTTTATAATCTGTGCTATCTGCTGGAAGGTTGCCTTCATCCCTGTCCAACTCCAAATACCTTTTCTGCAGCTGCATCACACTGCAGGCTCATATTAAATCTGTGATCTACCAATTTCTTGGGCAGTACACTTGAAAAATACTCTCATCATGCCCAGACTCAATTGTCAGTGAGGAAAGATTATTTTCCAGCATCACAAACTTGCTTCTTCTCCAGTCTGAATCAGGGGTCAAGGTGAAACCTGTTACACTATAGCTAAGTACAAATAATCAAAAAGCCTAAGGCTGAAGCTTTGTAGATTGAACCAATAAGCAAGTGGTTCCAGAAATGCAGTCATATGCCTGCAGTAGCCTAGGCCAGAAGCCAGGGGTGCTTGAGTACACTAGAGCATACATTCCTGCTTGGCTGGAGCAGACAGCTTGGTCCAAGGCTAGCCACCCACCCTGCTGTTGGCACTGGAACTATGACCCATATACTTTGTTCCAGAAGGACCCAAAACCTCAGACGGACCACAACTTCTCCATTTGATAATAGTCAAATATTACTGATGCACAGTAAGAGTAGATAAGAATAATGCAGGCAAGGCAAACAGAATAACACCCCTCCCCCCAATCCCCTACCTGATTCTATATCTACCAGTCCCAGGCCTGTCACAGAGGGAAGGTACACATTTGGTTAGTATGCCAGCTTCACCCTGTGTTTCTTTCTTGAACGTCAGGTACAAGCAGCCTGGAGGTTGAGGGCTGAGGCCCACCAATGAGGTGGGTAAGACAGGCTGCTGGTGTGCCCTCTGTCCATGGTGGCTTTGGATTCCCCCTGAAGGATACTTTGCTACTCTGAAATCCCTCCTTTTGCATTCTTTTCCTCCTCTGATGACACTTCATTCCTTGGTACCATTGATTGGTTTCCCTGTGGTTGTCATACTGCCCACGTGCTGTTCTGTCAGCATATTCCTTTGTTTCCCAAGCCCATCACATTCACACATCTTAATTTGAGCATATTACCAGGGTCTTAATTTGGGCATGCCCCGGCCTCTTAATTTGGTCTGCCTACCAAAACCGGAAATCCCAAGGACTCTGCAGCTGGTCACTGTGAACTGGTTCCAATGCAGTGAAACTATCTCATGTTATGGTTTATCAGGGAACAGTATAGTACATGTCTTCAATTTCCCAGCCTTTGTATCTTCTGGCTTCAGACAGTGGGCCTCGAAGAAAACTTTGTCACAAACAGGCTTTTAGAAAACAGTTAATGTTTGTTGTTCCCTTGGACCACAGTTCTAATGCAAAATCTACATTATCTACAAGCCAGCTCCTAAAAGCAAATCTCTAAATATCATTTTCTAGCCATAACCTGAGAGAAGGGCATGGTGAGGGAGGTGCAAAGCATACTGGGATGCTGAGGGACTGTGAGTTAACTTAAATCTGGAGGGGATCTGGGATAGAAATTCTGTAAACCAGTTTAACCTAAATCACTTAAGACTGATATTAAATCCATCCAGTTTTATCTTAAACTAGTTTCAGACATTTTGAAGGTGGTTTGTGTGGACTGAACTTCTGTTGTGTTACAGATATGAACTGGTTTCTGATCACTTATATTGAGGTTTATGTGTAATTTCTGTCCCTAGCCCATACATTGCTCCTCCAAGTGCACATTTCTATATAGCCAGTCAGCCAATGAATACCCCTCCTTTTCTTCCCTATCTAGTCAACATGGTGGCTGATTGGCCACAAAAGAAAAATGGGGAAAGCCAAATGTTTCCTTAGGTGGCCAAATAAAAGCCGCCTCAGCTCTGAACATTAAAAAGGTGTAGAGATAGATAATTCTGACTATATATTTATACCCATCCTATGTTGAATGTTTCAGCCCATTTCTTGTTGGGTAACTGTTCATAGCAGGGGACCTTTATACTAGCACTAAACCATCTCCTCCCTGACATTTTCATCCCTTAGATGAAGAACGACATTGATGGGAAAGTATGATATGCTCTCAATACCAGTACTTGTGCTTGTCCTGCGTAGGACAAAAAGAGCACTTTTCCACTGATTTAAAAAAAAAATGATATTTAAGCAACTAACTCCTAATGATTTATAATTCTCAGGTGACAGTGTCAGGAGTTAGGCATCCTACCACATTTTAAAATCTGCTTCCTTTTCAGGAAAAAAAAAAAAAAAACCTGCTGTCAAACCAGCTCTTTTATCAGCATGAAAAATAATTTTAAAGGGAAAAAATAAAAACACTTTAAAAATGCTATATTATCTAATTGTTTGCTTTTTTTGGTTATGGGGCTGCTTTCAAGACAAACAATTAATTGGTAGAGACCTGGTGCATTTGTGCCATAGTAACCTGTATTAATAATTTAGAGAATCACTCCTGTGGCAACTAGAATATTCATGGACATATAGGGTGCATCTACACATTACCCTATGGCAATGTTGTTACTGCACTGTATGCGCAGTGCACAATTATTTTTAGCAGGTACTTTGCTATAGCAGCACACTATAATGGGGGAGTGTACCACTACAGTGAAATGAAGTAGCTGCTAGTCATGTGTAGACACCCATGGGTGTTATAGCGATGTAGCATCATGTGTAGATGCACCATACTGTACTTACAGGCTGTATTACATGGAAACAGAAGCCTTGAGTCATAATATTTATTGTATGGTTTGTTGAATTAATTTAATTCAAAACTGTGGAACATTTAATTAAAATTGTATTTCTCACATTTCCCAGGTACTTCTGTGGTGCAAGTAACAGCCACTGATGCAGATGATCCTACGTATGGCAACAGTGCTAGAGTGGTTTACAGTATTCTGCAAGGACAACCTTACTTTTCTGTGGAGCCCAAAACAGGTAAATTTTTCTAAGTTCCCTTCCCAGGCAAATCCATACCAAGGATGAGATAAATAAAATGTATGTTGAATTTCCCTGGAATACATGCAGTACTTTTACTTCTGCAGCCTGTTCCTACAGAATTAATTTTAGGTTTAGCGTTCTTATTTTCTTATTAGATTTAAGAATGGGATTTTGAAAATAAAAGAATCATGCAAACACTTAAAATTATTGAGATCTGTCCTCTTCCTCTCTCACTCTCATTTCATCAGCCTCCTTGTTGATTCCCCAGAATCTATTTGGTCAATGACAATTTCAAGACTGCGTGGAACTTTTTTTGCAGCTTGAAATGTTGGAAAACAACGAAACCCCACAGTAAACTACAGACACTTCAATAATTCCTCAGATATTATTTTTGTTCACCATGAACACTTTTTGTTACATTCAAAATGTTTCACAGAGTTTACTTACTATTTGTGAACAACCTGAACAATAAGGCATTGTGCCTCTGAATGCTCATCACTTTTTTTTTACCTACTAGCAAAAGAAATATTCCTAATAACAGTTTTCCATCTTTTCACAGGATTGTGTTACGTTTTTAAGTAAGAGCATGAGGTTAAACATCCTTACAATCTTCCATAAATTTGGTAAACTTGATCCATTGTATTGTGTCATTTCTCAGAAGCAGAAAATTAAAAGCTTTTGCCCTATTGGGATATCTATTTGGTCTTCTTCACTATAGAAGACATTTAGAAGACTTATTCACATGATGCTCTGTGGATGCTGTATTATTATTCCTATTTAGATCGAAGCCCAACACAAACAATTGATTTATTCAAGGCAACATAGGAAGCTCATGCAGAGCTTTATATTAACCCAGATCTTTTGATTCCCAGTGCAGCATCTTAACCAAGTGGTGGTGCTTTCTCTCTCCTTTACAATAGCCACAATTACAGATTTACTGCACATCAGTTGCTCTACAGTAGCACTCATGTATGTGCTCTTTCCATGCCCTAGTGAAACTGAATCCATAGTAGTTGACCTTTAAGTAAAAGAGGACTAATCTGCAGCAGTTGAGATTTCATTTTCTGGTGCAAGGAGTTAAAAGTGAACATGTGAATGATTACCTCAAATCAGCAGGCATATCTTAAGTTCCCATCGTCTTCTAGCTTGCTATGGTTGCTTTATTTGTCCTGACCACCAGTTTATACTACACAAACAACCACAAACATATTATATATATGTGTGTGATTTATAGCCCACCACCACACACACACATGCAAAAATATAAATAGACAAGCTTCTAAAGTTATAGTATTATAAATTCTAGTAAATCAAAATCTTTGAAGAATGAGACAAATGCATTTGCTTTTTATTTTTATTAGCTGTGGTGCCAAAGTTTCTGATGTACATTATAATTAACTTTTAGAAAGGATGATTAGCACTAGTGGGGTTATACAAATGGCTGCAATTGATAGGAAAACAAGCACACCAAAAATGTGGCAACAACTAAGAAGGAATATGTTGTGAAATTTGATATTTATTTTTTCCATGTTGTGTAAATAGGAATAATTGTACCATAACATCTATTTGTAAAACAAATATTTCAGCCCAGGGCTGATAAATGGGAAGCTCTGCATTCAAGAGAGAGAGAGAAACAGCTAGAGAGAGAAGATAAAACTGTAACTAAACATTCAACAAATACAAGATTAAGAGATATGTGCCCCAATGCGCATCTCCTTTATTTAAATTGTTTATGTTTCCTTTGTCGGTGACTCTTAAGTGCTGGTGGAGTAAATGCCTGTCTTTCTGGAAATCAGACTTAGCAGCTCTACTATGTACCAAGCATGAAATATTCATGAAGACATCACGGTCTAAGAAGGAATATTTATTTTCTGATGCATATCAACAGAACAGAATGGATAAGGCATGGGGTTTTCTCCTGGTTTTTCTTTCCAAATTGTAATTACAAATTGTATACAGATTATCAAATGGATATGATAATAATATTATTTTAGATCCTACAGTATTTCAAGTAATAAATCAAAACCTTTGTGTTACTCTGAGTGCTTTAGAAGTGGCTATTGTTTAAGTAAATATTAGCTAATGCAAGATAACTTGTTTCAAATTAATAGCGTAATATGAGATCAACAGCAGTAAGAATTAATTTGGTAAATGACAATTTCAAGACACTGAGATATTGAGAAATATTTTGCACAACTTCAAATTTTGGAAACCAATGCAAAATTCCTCTCTCCTTTTGTTCCCCAAATTGTGGGGAGGCAAAGGTTGGAGAATGAAGAAGAGAGCTAGAGAAAGTGAAATTCTGTCTCACTTTGTGCACCAAAGGGAAGTTTTAGTGGCACATGAAGTGGATTTTTTTGCTGTTGCAAATTCCACAGACACTTCTCCAGTCCTGCTGCTGGTGGTTTGCCCTTGTATAAATGAAACCAAATAGAAACAAAATAGTTTTTATTCAGTCAGTTCAAATGACAGAGGAAATATGCCAAAGTAGCCAAATCCAAAGCTCTTCAGAAAACATACATCTTTAAACATGCACTCTTCGCACGTTAACACATGGATGCACTAAGCACTAAAAAGTATTCCTTTTTCTTGTCTATTAGCGCATTACCATTTCAATCCAGTTTCCACAATCCTTCCTTCTCAGTTCTTCCAGGATATTTACCACATCTTTGGATGTGGACAGACATAACGCTAGAACTGTTCCAGGAATGTCCCTGATTGGGAACTGTTTCACAATTGTTTCTGGACATGTACATTACGAGCCGTTCTAAGCAGAATTCTCACCTTATACAGAATTGCAGTGTTGCTACAGGGAGTGCTAGAGTACCAAGACCATCATGCCTTCCAGGGAGGGACTGCCAAGTGTTGGGGGGCACTGTGGTTGCTGAAGGGCTGTACATGCTTTGCCCTGCTGTCTCCCAAGATCTCCTTGACTTTATAACTCCTGCCTTGAAAGTTGTGCTGTCACTTTCACCTCCCTGCTAGAGACCCTGCCACATCAGTATGCCAGGTTTATTTGGGCTGAGAAGGGGAAAGCCACACACCCATCTCCTCACTGCACCTGGCAACCTATCAACTCCTTCCTTGTGCCCCAAAAGGGGCTGGGATTCCAGAGTGTAAGGTTGGGTACAGATGTTAGACTTAATGCACTTTAAGCTCATTAAGCCACAGTAGAACAAACATTCATGGCACATAAAGCACTTTAAAAATGGAAGTTCCTACTCTAAGTTAACTCTTGATGGGTATATATGAACCTAAAGTGCTTTCTGTTAGAGCGCTTTATCAAACATCTGTGCCAGATCCCACCAAGGGTTAGCTTAGAGCTCTACTCTAATCTCGGGCAGAGCTCATTTGCTCTGCCTGAGCCCTGCCACCCCCTCCCCACCAGCTGTCACTAACCTAAATCAATGACTGTCTCTGATCCTGGCCTTCCACATAGCCTGGCAGTGGAGGTGGGGTAGGGGAAGGGGAGTTTCTGTCCCCACAGCTGCCTTGGCCTCTTAGTGCACCATAGCCCAGTTGGGGGAAGTGGGGCAGAGCTGCAGAGGAAGGAGTCCAGGTTCTCTTTCATGGCAGCCACTCCTGCTGGGCTGCTTGGCCAGGGGATTGCTGCGGGGGAAGTGTTCTGAGGTCTATGTCCCTGCAGCAGCGCTGTCTGGGTAGGGCCAGCCTCATAGTGGTGCCTCTGGTAAGGCTGTTCAAAGATTTATGGAACACAGGGTGATCCCAAATGACTGAAAGAGGGCTAATGTAGTACCTATCTTTAAGAAAAGGAAGAGGGACAAATCTGCCAACTATAGACTGGTTAGTCTGACTTCAGTCCTGGGAAAAATCTTCAAAAAAATTGTCAAGGAGGCCATCGACCACAAGTTCTAACTGGCAGGATATTAAGAAACAACTAGCATGGCTCTGTCAAGGGAGGTCATGCCTGACAAACCTGGTCTCATTTTATGACCACATAACTATCCAGCTGGATATGGGACATGTGGTTGACATCATCTACCTAGGCTTCAGCAAGGGCTTTGATACTGTTTCCCATGAGATTCTTCCACTTAAGTTGGAGGGTACTGGCCTAAACTGGTCTACAGTGAGGTTGATGGCAGTTGGCTCAGAGGCCAATCCCAGTGGGTTTTAATTGATGGGATGGCCTCATCCTGGAGAACCCGTACTCTTTGACACTTTATCAGTGACTTGGATGAGGGAGTGGTAAGCACAATGATTAAACTTGTGGACGACTCCAAGCTGTGGGGAAATGTGGGCACATCTGAAAGCAGGGTAAGAAGTTACCATTTTAATCCAGTTGACAGGCTGATCCTATGGGCTCAACACAATTGGATGAGGTTCAATAGGGAGAAGTGCTAGGTCCTTCATCTGGGTAGGATGAAAACTCATCATTATTATATCATGAGTGGTGGCCCGCTGGATGACACTGCATCTGAAAGGGACCTGTAGGTGACAGTTGATCAAAGGATGAATATGAGCCATCAGTACAATGAAGTCACCAGCAGAGCAAATAGAACTTGTGTGCATCAGCCGTTGCATTGCAAATAGATCCAGAGAGGTGCTCCTCTCCCTCTATTCGAAGTTGGTGAAGCCACAGCTGGAGTACAGTGTCCAGTGCTGGGCACTGCACTTCAGAAAGGATGTGGATAAGCTCAAAATGGTATAGAGAAGGGTGACCCATATGATTAGGGGCCTGGAGGATAGGCCCTATGAGGAGAGACTCCAGGAACTGGCTTTGTTCAGTCTGAGTAAGAAAAGGCTGAGAGGTGACTTGGTGTTTGCCCCTGACATACTTGTAGGCAGCTATCAAGATCTAGGGGAGCAAATCTTCATAAAGGCACCCCTTGGGAGGATGCGGTCCAATGGGCACAATTTAGCTGAGGCAAAATTTAGGGTGGACATGAGGAAAAATTTATTTTCCAAAAGGGTAACTAGAATCTGGAACAGAGGTTGTCTAGTCACCATCCCTTGCTGGACAAGCATCTCGTTGAGCT